CGGTGACGCCACCAGGGACGCCCAGGGAGGGGAGTTCACCGCCTTCTGGCTTGGGGAATGGGGTGAGTGGGCACTGATGGGAGGGGAGGCTCCTTTTCTTGCTCTGGATGCCTTAAACTGGGGCCTACTGGGAACACCCTGCAGTGCCGCCCTAGCCAGTGGCCACTGGGTCCCTACCCAGGTCTGGCCGGCACCCCTGACCTCATGGGACAAATGTCCAGTGGGGACTATTGACAATAAATATAAAGAACCAGTCAATAAAATTTTGGGTAGAGGCTGCCTGCCATGGAAAGGGACACTGGGGTGGTTTTTTTTTGTGGGGCGCCCCCCCCCCAGCTCCTGTGCAAAAGCCCTGGGGGCAGCAGAGTAGTCAAGAAGGGTGTGGCCCCTGACTCCAGGACAGGCAGGGTGGCTCCCCTCGGTCACCTCCCAGCCTGCAGGTGGGACAGTGCCCAGCTCCACTTCCCTGGGCAGGGACCCTGGCTTCCCAGACTCCGTGTTAGAGCGTGTTTCTGCCTCCCCGGGAGCCCTCCGGGCCAAGGCTGGCTTCTCGGTCAGAAGTGCTGTCCCGGCCCAGTGTGAGGGCACAGAGCTGTTCACAGGGCACCCCCCGCCGCCGCCACGCCACGCCACGCCACGCCACGCACGTGGTCTCCGATGGTGTCTCACTAACCTTCACACCAGCTCCATGGGTGACTCCCCCCAAGCCACAGCGGGGACAAGACAGTAATGAGGGTGGACAGTGCAGAGTCCTGCTGCAAGTCCCCACCAGGGTGTACATCCAAGTCTGACTGCAGGGGCCATGACCCTAACCTCTGCCCTTCCCTGCCTTCCTGGGACCACTCCTCTCATCAGGGGATGGGGAGGCCTGGAGGCTGGCTGAAGAGGGGGCCCTTCACAGCTTCCAGGAGGAGGTGCTGGGCACCAGGCCAGTGGCTGTGGCAAGACAGGACCCCACCCACTTCTGCTGTAGGCTGGTGGCTTCGGCTGCCCCCACCCCTGCTGTGAGCAGAGCACATCCAGGCATGGGGGGACGTCCTCAGGTGTGCCAGGGCAAATGTCCAGGAGTGGCCTTGTCCCATTCCTCACACATTCCTGACAAATGCACTTGAGATCTTCTTGATAAAACCACAAAACCACCGGAAACACCAATTAACCCTCCCCTCCAGCAAGTCCCGCTTGATTTGCATATAAACTTTCTAAAGAGGTCCTAATAGCTTGGCCCCTTGGTTTCTTTACTGTGCTTAAGCATGTGCCCGCGCGTGTACGTGTGATCTGACTAGGCTGTCATGACCCTGCCTGTCTCCGACAGAGCAGGAGCCTCCCCACAGGCCTCCAGGCTCCTGGAGCCTCAGGAAGGCCGAAGGCCTGGGCAGCAGGGTTAGCCTGGCCCCGCCCCGCCTCAGAAAACCAGGATCGCCAGGGAGGTACAGGCATCAATAGGCCCCTGACCCCCTGATCTGGGGGTCACCTAGCTGACCAGGGAGGGGAACCTGCTGCCTGAAAGGCTCGAGTCCCGCGCCTGGGAAGGCTCAGTCGCAGGCAGGGTCCTCTCGTAGGATGGTGAGGAAACGCTCGCCTCCCTCGCAGAGCAGGCTGTGCACGGCCCGGCACAGTGCCAGCCAGGGTGGCCCCCGCGGCTCCAGGGTGCACACCAGAGGCAGGAGTTCGGCCATCAGCACCTGGGGGTAGAGGGCCCAGCTATGAGGCAACCCCAGGACAGGCGCCAGGCCCCTGAGACCGCCACAGTCCTGCCCATCTCCTGGAGGGTCCTGGGTGGAGCTGGCTCACACCCGAATCCTCAACTCCTCCTAGAGGCCTTCCCTGGCTCCAAGCCTGATGTTCTTGCAACTGCCACTCCCCTGGGCACCCAGCCCACCTGTGCCCACCTCGTACCTTTTCCAGGTGGAGTTGCTGGCCTAGCATGGCCACCCGCAGCCTGAGGGCCGCCAGGGTCTGAAGCTCCTGGGTGCTGGAGTAGAGGAGCAGCCAGGGCCTCCAGGAGGGGTCCACTCTGCCTTCACAGGGCAATGGGGCTCGAGGGGGCCTCTCCACAGGACACGGCTGTCCCTCCGTGGCTATGAGGACAGGGGCAGTGCTGTGGGGCAGCAGCCAAGCCAAAGGCCCAGCTTCTTCCAGGGGCTGGCCTGGCTCTCTGCCCACCACCCGGCCTGGAAGGGTGCAGAGTGGAGGCTTCGCTGTGACACGGCTGTGGCGGGTCTGGGCAGGTGTGGCAGGGAGGGTCTTTTGTGGGGCCGATTTGTGGGGCCTCCTGGGTTAAATGCTTAGTGTGGTTCTCTTGAGATGGACTCTGGTGTTTTCTTGTTCGTGTGTGTGTGTGTATGTGTTCCAGACTAGAGCTTCCTGGGTCACGGCTTGGTCTTCCAAGCAGCTGGCCTACCGGTGCGTTCTACGACACGTGGCCTTTCAGGGTGGGTGGGGAACCGAACCTGGACCTTCAAATGGCCTCAGTCTGCTAAACATCGGTTTCCAGTGTGCACCTTCTGTCCTGGGCCTGACTCTGATTTTTTTTCCCCCTAAAGAATTGTTTAATTTATTTATTCATGCATTTTAATTTTGACCACAGAGAGAGAAAGTGGGAAAGCAAGCCACCAGGTCTGGGACTTGAACCGTGGTTGGTCATGTGGGAGTGTCCAGCGCCTTAACCATCACACCACCTGCTGGTCCCAACCTGACTGTGATTTTGAGAAGCATTAGAAACTCCATCCTTAAACATTCAAACAACTGGTGGGGTGGTTAAGGTGGCGAGACCCCACATGGCTGATCATGCCATCTGAGTCCTGATTTGGCAGCTTAAAAATCACACCGGGTGAATGTGTGCCTAAAATCACACGAGAATGAAGGGGCTGCAACATGGCCATCCCCCAGAGGGTGATTTCTAACTCTCCTGGCCCCACACTCCCTCCGGTGAGCACACACACCCTATAGTGAGCTGAAAAAAGCAAAATAAAATATATACACACACACTGCTGCTTTAATCAACTAAGAAATATGCCAAAGTGAGGGCCAGCAGGTGGCATGGTTGTTAAGGATGCTGGACTCCCACATGGCTGACTGCAGTTCGAGCCCTGGACCTGGCAGTTCATTTTCTCTCTCGCTCTCACTCTGTCCCTCTCTGATCAAAATAAAAATAAAAAAAGTTAAAAAAATTCTTAAAAAAAAAAAAAAAAGATGGGACCAGCAGTTGGCTTAACGGCTATGTCACTGGATTCCCATGTAACTGACTGTGGTTCGAGTCCCAGATCCGCTGGCTTAAACTCATGCCAAGCACAGGTGCGTGCGTGCCCAAGATCCTGAGAAGAGAACGAAGGAGAAGGGATTGTGGCGTTGCCATCCCCCAGGGGGTGATTTCTCACGTTCTGTCTCTCTGTCTCTGTCTTTCTGGCAAGCAAACATGCCCTATAGCAAAAACCTCTCTAAAAAAAACCAAAGTGAAAACGGCTCCATTGTCTGATAATAACTAGCTCTTATAATGCCACGCAAGGGGCCTCTCAGATCCCCGACTCGGATGTGCTTTCCTTTTTTTTTTTAAGAGAGAGATTTTTGCTCTAGAGCACACATGCTCACCTGAAACAGAAGCAGGTGACCACCCCTGCGAGCATGGCCACTCTGCAATCCCTTCTACTCCATTCTCCTCCTGGGCTTTTGGGCATGCACACACACGTGCCCAGTGTGAGTTTTCACGCTGTCAGGTCTGGGACTCAAACTGCGGCCAGTCATATGGGAGTCCAGTGCCTTAACTGCTATGCCACACTGGCCCCAGATGTGCTTTCCAGCCGCTGGACAAGTGAGCACAATCTCCAGGTGGCAGGTTGCTTGCTGGGGGAGGAGGTGGGGTGCTGTCCCAGGCAGGTGAGGAGGCTGGAGGTGAGAACCTGGCCCACTGAGGGTGGTGGGGAAGGGTCCCTGACTGCTCACTCTTCCTCAAGGAACAGGCAAGGTTGGTTCAGGTGTCCGGGGTGGGACTCACCTGCACGCAGTTCCTGCAGCTGGTGGAGACAGCGCCCAGCGAGGGCCTGCAGCCCCTCCAAGGTGAGCAGGCAGCGGTACTCCTGCATCCAGTCAGCGGGGGCTAGGCAGGAGTAAGGACAGGCTGGGGACGCCGGCTCCGGAACCCTCCCCACACCCGCCCTGCCCAGACCCACTGAGGCCCACTGACCTGCCGAGAGCTCCTCTAGCATGTGCAGCCTCAGCCGTGAGCAGGCCCTCCGCAGGCGCTGTGTCTCCTCCTGCACCTCCGTGGCACTGAGCCCTGCGCTGGGCTGGCCAGGCTGGACGCAGGTCAGGGAAATCTCCAGTGACCGTGACCAAGCTCCCCTACCAATAATGGGGTCTGGGAAGTGGCCCTGGCTATCCCACGCCAGCCCTTCCTAGGGCTGCTCTTCAAACCCGAGGCTCCCCAAGCCCAGCAAGGATACAGCTGTCTGCATTTTCTGCAGGAACTGGGTCCTAGCAGCTGCAGCATCCGTGCAGTCACTGGTCTGTGCAGAGTCAAGCTGAGCCCACAGGCTGGGATGGACATACGGGCACCCGACCCGAGAGGGGAGCAGAGTGGTTATTCTAGCCAGCTGCCTGAGTCTTGGGAAGTAGGCAAGGGCCAGGGGAGGGGCCATCCAGAAGCCTTGATGAAACAAGAACGCTGGCCGGGACAAGGTGACAGGGCTGACCTGCTCTGGGAAGCATAAAGACTCAAAGGAAGGAGAGAGGAGCCGACAGGGACATAACCACGCAGCTGGAATGGGGCAGGCACCCTGCCTAACCGTCAGGACACCTCTGCTTGTAAGGCACCACTACCATCACCTCCAAAGGGAACCAAACTGGGACTTAGAAACACCAGGAGTCTCATTCGGTCTGGAAATCAGCGAGTGATCCATCTAGGATCTCGACGGCAGTCTTAGCTAGGTGACGTGGGTAGTAAGCCCCGCCCAACAAAGTCTGATCTACATGTCCCTGAGGCGCTGTCAGCCCCCGTCTCCCCTCTGCACCCCCACCCCAGTGAAGACCCAGCTCACCGAGAGTTCCGGGAAGCCGCCTTGCTGAAGGCCACAGGCAGCTGCAACATGGACCTGCCAGAGGCCAGGTTCAGAGCAGCCCTGCCCTGCTTGGGGGCTGTGAATCCCGCTCCCTGCTCAGAGCCCACCCAAGGGTGCAGTTCTCATCCCCTCCCCTGGTGAGGTCCACTCCCAGACAAAGCCCTGTGCATGGGCCTTTCGGCTCAGCCCGGCATTGCCCTGGCAGAATAGGCCCCAGCACATCAAACCTGGCACTGTCACAGCCAGTCACTTCATTCTGACACCCCGTGGGGTGGCCCAGAGCTCCTGGGGCCTACTTACCTCCAGCTCAATGGCCAGCCTTCCGTTACCCACTGCTGGCCACGCTCTGAGTGGGTAAAGACAGTCCCTCCAAGTGAGGGACTAGGCCACCTACCCCTTTTCCTGGAGTGTGAAGGTTTCTGGGACCTGAGCAGCAGCTGATGAGGCCACCTGTTGGTTCCTGAGGCCTGGCCCAGGAGCTTGAGCTCCTATCCCCGCGTGAGTCCTCTTCCCCGCTGACAGAAGTTTGTGTTCAGGGCAGACCTTGGCAGGTAGCGTGGTCTGGTGAATGCCATCGGTGGGTCTTGGCTCTGACACACGGCTGCCAGTGTGGCCGGGGGCCCGGAGGGGGGGCGGGGCTGGGGTGGGCCCA